GGCGGACAGCTGGAAGGAGAGACGGAGACGACGAGGGAGGCGAAAACAGAGATTTGATGGATTTTAAACCCACTGTTAATTTTTAGGACCATTTTTCAACCGCTTAAACCGTCAAAGTCAAAAATCTAGAACCCCGTCCGTATTTGCTCTCCACGGGAGGCAAAAGCACTCGAGAAGTGGCCGAGTGCTAGCAAGTGTCAACAGCAGTTACTGGCTGATAAGGCTGCTGACGGCTCTGCGCAAGCCTTGAATGGATAATTCAACCCTAGAAATACGTAAACTGGAAATTTAAAAATTTCATAGGGAACCCAACCCTACGCGAAATTGCAGGCCTAAAATCGACTTTTTCTTCGGTTGTTTCACGCTGAAAAAGTTTAAACATGACGTTTTCACTGTGTTTTCAAACACCATCACAATTTTATCATTACTGATATCACTATAAACAAATCGAATTTTGCAAAATGCAAATAAAGAAACGTCTGTAAAAAAACCCGTTGAACACAACAAGCCTATTTATAGAATACAGGTTAATTTCATTTATTTCAAATTTTAATCCGTCCGCAATTTAGAGAATTATCTTTATTTCCTGATTGTCCGCGTCGTAGTCCGGTTTTGCCTGAAGCATTCCAGGAAATCAGTAACATAGGATACCGAAGCCGATTATCCAAGCTGTTCTGATACCTTATTAACGTTTGATAAAATTTCCATTTGATAAGATTTCACGCATAGTGTGATATTAAATTGGTTGAAATTTTGTTTTTATGAGTTTTGTGCTGCAGCAGTTGCACGAAACGTAGATTGTTGAGACTCTGTCTGTGTGCGTTTATATGTTTTGACTGTGTTTTTTCTGGAGTTTTAAACCAGGGACCAGAGAAACAAGAAAGCCGGAATTTTAGGGGAAAGGGTTTTGGAGAAAGAGTTCACTACCCGCGTGTGATTTATAAATTCAACTCGGGCATACACTAGGTTTCATGTACGGACATTTGAAAGTTTTGGCGTTAAAAATTATTGATTTGGGAGCCAGAAAAGCTAAGAAGCTGAAATTTTAGAAGAATTTTCCTTGCTCAAGCACGACCCGCAAATTTAAACTCAGTTCTCGCGTGCGTTTAAGCCTTAAGCACGATCACAGTAAAATTTCAATGCGAAAATTGTTAAATCGGGGATCAAAAATATTGGGAATCTGAAATTTTATGAGAATGTTCAGTACTTATGTGCGATTCAAAGATTTTAAATTCAGTTCTCACGTTCGTCTTGACCTTACGTACCGGTACGAAAAGTTACTAACTCGAGGACCAGAAAAATAGAAACTAAAATTTAAGGAGGATCTGTCGTGCCCACGTCGCCGAAGATTTTAATTTAGGTTCGGATGCGCCCACGTTTCACTCGGTCGCGTGCACTTTGGCGGAATTCCTGAATTCCTGAACCAGGGAAGGTAGGAAGCTGAAATTTCAAGATGTTTCCTGTGCATGCGCACTCCGAAAATTTTAGATTCACATTCCACATATGCCTAGATCTTACATATAGAGTAATATAAGTTTTAGTCTAACATTCCGACGATCTCTACACATGCCGAACAGTAAAGCAGCGAACATTTTTAGCAGTAAACGTCGGCCGGAGAAAACTGTACAAAATGCATGATCCCCAGCCACCCTGGTGCGCATCGCCATTTTTTATTATAGTGCTACTGCAAAACGACGCAACGCTATTCTTCGAGGAACCTTATGCAGTCCAGTAAACCTCTTCGTCCTGTGTTCGGTTTCTTAGCATTGGTAGTCGGTTGATCATCTTCAGGGGCTGCTGATCTGCGATCTGAAATACCCGTATTGGTACCCTCCTCATCCTCGTTCTCAATATTGTCATAGTAATCCGAGGATCTTCGCCTACGCGCGGATTTCTGGATATCTGACGAATCCTGCTGTCTCCCGCCTACTACTATTGCCGGGGCCGGTATGGGATTCATGTTTGGTAGCAGTATCTTGTTCTCAAGATGAGGAAACAAAAAATTCTGTATTTCTTTTGGCATGAGGTTCAGTGTTGTTGTCGTTGCTGTTGCTGCTGCTGCTTCTGCTACTGGCGTTACCGCAAACATCAACGGTGCAAATGTGGGAAAAGTGAGCATTAGCGGTGGAAGAGTGAACAAATTTGGTGGACTGACTGTCATTAATTTCAGAATAGTTGTATTCGGAGCTGATAAGTTTGATAAATTATTCGCATCCTCGGGAATTACAGGCTCTGAGTGCACTGGAGGAGAGGCGTTCGCTTTGCCCATCTCTCTTAGTGTTAGCGTCTCCCGCTCTGCATCACTGCTGCCGTTTGCGTGGATGGACCAGGTCTGGGAGCCTGTGTGCTGCTGCTGGTAGCTTCCTGGCCTTATCGGTATGGGAGGTGCATCTGAGTCATCGTAGTACGGGTCATCCTTGATGATGTAGCGGTGCAGCTTCTTCGCCACTCGACTCACTGGTTCGATGGTTGAAATGAACCTGAAAAATTTCTTCCAATCACAGATGTTCACAGTTTATATCCCTATAATTTTTATGTCAGCTGAATAAGACCAGGATAAAGTAAGGAAACAAACTGTCCGACTCACTGATATGCGACGTATTTCGTCATCAGCAAAACGAGCATACCCGTTACCCGGCATGTCACCCCAGCAAATTATAAGGTAACCGCCTAATAATTAAGCAATCAAAAAGAAACACAATGGTCATCGTTTTCTCCGCTACGACCCGCTACAATTCTCTCATTTTTTTTTTTGTAGAAAAAACATCTTCCATATGATAAGGTAGTACTGCACCATAATTAGGTAATGAAAGATTTCAAGACAAGATGGCCAGTTATGTCTAGAAATAATTAATATACAGCCGGGTACTCCTGACAGAAGAATATGTAAATTGATAAGCTTTTCAGGCAACGAAACGGAGTCATGATCGACTATAAACTGACCACCAGCCAATGCAGCACTGGCCAAAGCAAATGAAACAGCTGCCAGCTGCGTATCCACAGGACCTTCAGTGTCCGAGCAAGTAAAACCATTATGCAAAAAAACACTTGAAAATTTCCTAGAGATCTTCTCAGTAAAAAATTAAGGAGTGATTTGGAAAAAGAAAGCGAGTTGACACTGTTACCTGTCCAGTAGTTGAAATGCATTCGCGAAAAGTTTGCACTGTGTTACCGAAAGACCTTGATCATGGCAAACTGATAGAAGCGTACTCGGATCACTGCAAATTAACGGATATCAAACTAGCTCCATTGCTCACAAAATTATGGCACGCTTCTGTGAAACCCGTATATGACCAAAGCTGATGCTCTTAAATTTCAATTTTTATGCATTTTTGCATTACATGCAAAAAAACATATTGTGACGACCCCAGTGTGTGTGTATGTGTGTGTGCGTCTGTTCGCGTGTTTCAACTCGGCAGCCAAGCAAGCTCCGGCGCTAAAATTTTGAGAGTGAGTTCCCCGGCTAAGTACCACCCCAGGACCGCGGTACGTCTAGGCCCCGCGTACGAGCGCCTCAAAGTTTTGGAGGGAAAATCGCTAACTTGGGAACCAGAAAAGCTAGAAAACTGAAACTTTGGGATTATGTTTCCAGTCCAAGTAGAACTCAAAGA